GGAATAAAATGTAATGACTCCTAAATCACTATTTTTTTCCCAAAGAGGTGGAAGTATACTTGCAAAGGGAAGAAACACTAAAGGAAACTTTTAAAAAGGTTTATAAAGGGGGGAAAGAACTAAAGAAATAGGGATTAATCATTCAAGAAAAACTACTAAGTAATAAGATTGAGAACTGCAGTAAATTAGGTAAATATCACACACTTTGCAATCACATTCAAATGTTTTGCTTTGATATTTCATGAAGGATATTCCTCATGAGTTAACTATGATAGGAAATTACCTGTTCGCTGTAATGTCTAACAACGCTCCACATCAGCTGATCTCTGTTGTAAAACTGACAGCGAATTTCATAATAAGCAAGTCTGGAGGAGAAAGAGTCAAAGGAACTAAGATCAGTTTTTGAAAAAAAAAAGAGAGACAAAATTTCAATGATAATCATTGCTAATTCACAATTAGGTTTGTACATCTGTCACATATAATTTACACTTGAGATCTTAAATATTAGGATAACAAAACTATTGTAAAAATAGTGCATTCTCATGCAAGTCTTTCATAAATACATAAAGAGTAAAAAGGTTTACAAAAGTTGACCATAATCCCACCACAAAGTAGATTTTTAAGTTTTTTTCTTCTTCTTATTCTCCACTTTGAATTCTTTCTTTTCTGTGCAATTGAAAACTATTAAAACACTTTGTATGCATTTTTATACTCAACATCGTGGATAAGTATTCCTCTACGTCTTCAAAATTCTATGTTGCCATTTTTAACAGATGCATAGCATTCCATCATGTGGAAGTGTCATGACAAACAATTCTTCCACGGTCAGTCATTTCTAAATTTTGACATAATAATCGAATGTTGCCATGTGTATCCTGAATATAATTTTGGTTGTATTTCAAGATTGATTTTTGGTCTTAGTTCCCCCCAAAATTAATGGATGAAAGACAAGAAAAACATTTAAGGCTCTTGACATAGATCCCCTTTTTACTAACACAAATAGAAAAAAAAAAAGCCTGTTTCTTAGCTCCACTTCCTCTAGTACTAGAGTTCTCATATTTTGAAATCTGTGATAATTTGTTTCAATTTACATATATCCTTTGATAAATAATAAAGCTAAACATATCTCATATCTATTTTTGTGAGTAATCTCATACTGTCCCCTGGCAATTATGACACTGGAATTTTTAGGTTAAAAATTAAGACTATCAATCTTTTGTTATACTTGTCATTATATAGTTCTGGTTCTTTGTTTTTAAATTGTTTCCACTGATTTTGTTGTGTCTAATCTTTATGTAGTCAAATCAATTTTGTGTTTTCCATTGGATTTTTCCCATTGCTTTCAAACTTAGAAAGACTTCCTTTATTCAGAGATTTGATAGCAATTAACTTCTCTTTTCCTTGGTCTTTGTCTTTCTATTTGAATTTTATGTTTAAGGCTTCAATTCCTCTGAAGTTTGATGTGTCACAGGTGAGGTGAAAATAATATAAATGAATTTTTTTTCTCCAAGGTAACTACTTATCTCTACACCAGTGCTGAATATTCAATTCAATAAACAGTCACTGAATTTATATGTGTCTGACACATAAATATTCTTATATTAGATGGA